TTTAATTTCATTTTATATCACTACTTTTATTTATGAGCATTTTATGGCTGTTTATTGTTGTCTGGACCTCGTCTGCATTCTTTGTTTAAATCCGGTCTCTCTTGTAAATGAGTCCTCGTGACTCAGTGAGACTAACCTGTAGAAATAAAGGTTGAATAAAAAATATATATATATTTTTATGGTCTCTTGCGTCTAATTTTAGTTTCGTGTTTTGTCAAAAAACTTTAGTGATTTTTGTTTTTCATGCCTTTCAGTTCCCGTGTTCCTTGTGCCATCGCTTCACTTCTCCTCGGTTCAGTTCCTGTCAATCTACCTGCCCCCAGTCTTTTATATTCTATTGGCTCCAGTTTGATCCCCTTCAGAAACTGTAAGTTTAGTTTATAATACAAAAGGTTTTGGTTTCCGAGCTCCTTGATCCTGTCTGTGATCTGGGTTCCAACTTTTGTCTGATCAAATAAATGCAGGCAGACGCTGAAGTGACAGACACGACAGGCGTTTATTTCAGAAGTCTTTGAACCTCTCAGGACATTAGAGTGAAACTTCTGCGCATTAGTTCCCACACTGAGCAGACATGTTCAAACAACTTGTGCAGAGGGTGGAGGAGGTGCTCTCACTGACTGATGGGTGGAGTCACATTCATGTTTTCACTTCCACCTCAAACTTTGATCCGCTCTCTTTCTCCCAACTATAAACTGATTAGCATAAAGTTCAAACTTTCTTATCTTAGTTTCAAAGTTAACAAACCACAGAGTGAACTCTGCACAAGTTCTGTTCCATTACATGCAACACAGGCTCTTCCTCTCAGCACGTAGCTGCAGAAGAACTGGATGAAGCTTCATTCACAACACAGCTCACAGAAGATGCTGCACGGTCCAAGTCCCTGACACATTTAAACTGCTGCCACGCTAACGATGTAAAGTGACAAACAATTTCAGTGATAAATCACCAGACAGCGTCATGTGATGTAATTAAAAAAATTAATAATCTAATCAGTATAAAGTGGAGAATAAATGTTTTAGAATTTACACTCGTTGATTCTGTGAATAGTATGAATGGAAAACGTTGGTAAACTTACATTCTTTATCTTCTAAAGTATTCATTCAATAACAGTACAGCAGAATGAAATGTCCTTTTAATTAAACAAACTTCAAAGCAAAATGAGAAAATTAAATTGAAGTTGGCTTTGGATTGGTCCTCGGTCGTCTTCAGTGCCGACCAGCCGTCTGGTCTGGTCTGGTCCACATCTGCTTGGGTGGCTGCTGTAAACCTTTGCACGGTGACGCATTGACGGTACGCCTGCTGTTCTGATTCCTTTTCGTTTGACATGGCAGAGTGACTGTGCGTTTAAAGTTCACTCTGTCAGCTTTAATTAAGACCATTTTAGGCAGACTGCGTTGTAGTGCACTTCCTTTATTTTGTTCCCAGGAGACGCCACAGTATAGTAGTCGTACATACATTTAAGCCTGGAATGATTTAATTTGCAAGCATTGTGAGTAAAAAGGGTAATGCAGCACTCAGTGAATGACTAGACTTCAGGGAATTCCCCTGAATCCTAATATACACTTACAATACTAGAGAGACCCAGAAAAACAGGAGGCTGTGTCCGAAAACTGCTCTGACTCCTCAGTTATTCATCCGACAAGGCCGTGAAAGCTTACGTTCACATCGTAATCTTTGTCATTTGAAATCCAAAGTGCTGCGAGCGCACAGACGAAATGTTAATGCACTGCTGCGCCGAAGGAACCGACTCTCTTCATTTAAATGCATATTCTACCCAGAATTCCCCCCACGTTTTTGCTCACTCCCAACCTGACTGAGGCTTCTAAAAACAGCAGAAAGCTTTACGCCTCTGACAGCACGCGTCACGCTGGAGGAGAGCAACTTTGATGAGAACCAGGCTTTTAGAGGCCTCCTTTGTTAGCAGGGAGTGATTCACATTTTAGAGATAAATCGTCCTGCGAGCAGGCGGCTCAGACTGTGTACAAGCAGATAAGGTTGCCAAGGAAACCTCGGAGAACCTTTTTCCTCCCTTCTTGATCTGTGCAAACAATTAATACCTTCCTGGTGCAGAGAAGAGACAGTGGAATAAATCCCCAGGTGCTTAACATAGCACCACTCTCTCTTTAGCTATGTAAACGGGAACGAGGGGGAAAGAAACATAAGAATATTGGACTGGAGGACCCCGAAGGATGATACATGACTCACAGTACATTAACTCAATGAGAGAACAGCATTTAGTCCATAAATCTAATCTGTACACGTGCAGCAGCTCGCATCACTAATGTCCTTTTAATGAATGTTGTGAATGCATGACTATAAAAGTGTGCCATTATATCCATGCACATCCATTTGGACAGCAGCTGCAATCACACAGCGAGCCCTGGACGAGCGGAGCAAAGAGTCTTCAACTACAGTCCCAGATCAATGCTCGGGGGCCCCATCCATTACTGATATCCAATTATAGCAATGGATGTCTGCTTAGCACTGCTACTAAGTACTTTAGTCTTTTTATTGACTACCTGTCGACACAGCTGCTGGCTAATAATCAGTCATTGATCTATCTACATGTCAAGATCACCAGCATGTTAAATGTTTGCACAGTGACAGGAGGGTGGCCGTGGTCGAAACTTTCACACAATCAAACATGGATTGTGTACTTCAGCTGCTACATGCCAGTGCAGCCATCAGCATACCTAATTAGGAAGCTAATTTTGTACAACTGTGATTAGTGCGGGCTTGCAGTGGAAGTAATTACCCACAAAAGGTGGGAAATGACTCCAATTGTAAAAAAAAGCTCAGCAAAAGCTCAAATAAATGATCAAAGATGGCAGGGACCCCGCACCGCAGCAGGAAACACAAAGAGGCTATTAGAACATTTCTGATGAAATCCTGGTGGCAATACAAAATACAGGCTAGTATAGTACATAATGTACATGTAACAAGTATGTAATGTGTAGGTCCCTGATATTCTGTATTATGAAGTGATTATGGGTCCAGTCAGTTGGTCTCTCAACACAGTTGATACATTCTTTCAACCAAGCAACAGTGTGCTGGAGAGCCCTCATGCCCTGAACAGACACATGCAGCTGGGTATGTCATGGATTCCTGGGGACAGTGGAAGATGATGTGCCTCTCTGTACTGTCAGTGGAGGATGTACAAGACGTGTACATTACTGAATTTATGAAAACAAGGTTTCTGCTTTTTGGAATCACCTTGAATATCCACAAATTAGGAAGACGTCAGCAGCAGTTTCGACCTTGGTAAAGCTGCCAACCTTCTGTGAAGGAGTAATTTGTGCTTCAAGCTCTCAGACTCATGTGCTTTGCGAGCTCAACCGCGAGCTGGACGCGATTTCTGAGAATTGTAGCCACTTGCAGCTCCAGGAACTCACCGGTATGAAGGATTTGACTTTAACAAAGCAAGGACTGGTGGAATGTCCACAAATCTGGCTGTTTGGATTCACCATTGAGAGTACCAGCAAACTGAAGGCAGAAATCAGTCTGCCTGCTTGGCCTTGGATAGGCCAACTTATGTCAAATGGCTAAAAGTCCAAAGTCATCGTGCATTTTTATTTTGATTATTTATTAAAAATATGAGAGATGTTGCCCAGTCTGTGGAGCGTCTTCATCCACCTTCAGCTGTGCGTTGCCATGCGTCCCGCAGACCTTGTCTTATGCACTGCATCTCCAGACAGCTCTGCAGGACGCGCACACAGAACTCCTGCATACATTACCACGGTGCATAACATTTCAGACATAATAATTAAGCTTACAATAAATAAATACGAGTAAATGTTTGATGTGTATTAACATCACGTATCCAAAGAACATCACTAATTGGTCTAAATAACAGCGATCAAAATGTGGAAAAGACAAAATAATGGATGGATTGTCCTTAGCTGGACAACAGAGAACTGAAGCACCTGAAGGCAGCGGCCATCGAGACTGGAGCAGAACACGCACGACTGAATTCAGCAGCGTTCGGGTCGGACAGCGTGTGTTAATTGTTGTTGCTCTCTAAAATAGTAACTTCAATTCAACCTTTATTTATACAGGTCGATGGTCTCACTGAGCCTAGTCACTTACAACACTGTTTTTAAATCAAATGTTTAACAACCTGTTAAAATACACCAAAATGCAGGAAATGGCATCTCTTTTATTCCAGATTTTCTGGGGGAGGGCCCACAGACCAACCCCCCGCTTGTGTTCCAGCATCATCGGTTTACAAATTAAGCCCTGTGTGTCGACCATGCACATGTATTTTTTATCTATCTACATTGATGGCTGTGGTTTTTTTTTTTAGTTTTCTACATCGCTTTACATTGTAGCTGTTTTTGTTTCGTTTTTTTTATTTATTTTTTTATATTTCATTTATTTGTTCCGGTTTATATGATTGTCCACTGTTGTCATTGTTGTTTCAAACAGGTCTCTCTTGTAAACGAGTCGAGGCTCAATGAGACCGACCTGTGGAAATAAAAGGTCGAATAAAAAATGTAAACTGAACTGAATCTACAACTGCCTTCCGTTTTGTGTAAACCCAAGTCAAGATGCTAAGCAACCTAAACAAAATCATTTTAACATGATGGTCTTTGTGTTTTTCTAAGGCTGTAGTACTACAGAATTAAAAAGTGTAACAAAAACAAAAGAACATATTTTAGTAATAAATGCGCTTCAATGCTTTTAAACATGAACAGTTTTACTAAAAGCAGCCGGGTCAGAGACCTGTGGGTTGATCTGAACAGAGACGGCAGGCAGCCACTGCTCCTGCCCCTTACTGATTAATTACAGTCATTAAGTGGTTAGAAAGTCACCTCACCTGGTGTAAAGGCTGCAGTTTACTGGCTGATTAAAATAAATCACAGTCAGAAAGCTGCAGAGTTCCTGGAGAACAAATCACCGTGGCAACAAGAGATTAAAGTTTTAGTCACGCTAAGACAATGGTCGCCAACAACCGAACGAGTAATTATGAGCGGCAGCAGTTTGTTGATTTCACTCACTTTTATTATTCAAAAATACAGCACAAAAATACACACAAAGAGAATGTGGTGTGCACCTCAGCCGAGTCTTCATACAGCAGAAGCATACCCATGTTAAAGCTATTGTTAATATTGTTAGTAGTTAACGTCTACAGAGTAACAGGACCACATCTGGAGCGCTGCTCTGACAGCAGGCGACGAGGAACTAGACTTTCTACAAGGACCCATTCTGAGCGTTTGTGCACAACGCAGCCGCTCACATGAACTCACATTCACAGCATGGTGGCAAATTACAACCGACCGAGGGTTATTTTTGCTCACGTCATTTTTTGCCTTCACCAAATAAGTGACGTGAAATCTTAGCAGGAAGCTTCGTCACTGTGCTAACCCCCGTTCTTCTGTTAAACGCTGGATTTTCTCAAGGAAGTATCTCGTCGGGCTGCGACGAGTTGGCAGGTTGCATCTGCGAGGGAGTCTCTAAACTGTCTCGAAGCATTTGCGCTGGTTCTTAATTTCCTTGCTCGAGTCACAGTGGCACAAAAAAAACGTGTGCAGTCAGGAGTTCTCCCCGACAGGAAACATGTCCAGGTCTAAAACGCACAGAAAAGATCAATGACAATTACTGAAGCCTGATCCAAATCTGCTCGTCTTCCCTCGAAGCCTGGTCCAGGAGAGTAAATCGTAAACGCGGGGGCAGAGGTGGGTGTAAAGCGAGTGGAATGAGGCAAAGAAATTATTTGCACAGTCTAGAATAGTTCTGAAGCCATGCACACAAAAACCAGCTGTGCAACAGTTGATCGTCACAAACACTCAGAACGCAGCGAGGCTGCAACACAAAGCTGAGTATTTAACAGCCGCAGCTTAGTGACGCAGACCACCTCCGCTCAGCGTCGGGGCTGGATACAGACACTTTAACGAGTATTTGAGAAGCAGAGCCACATATTTCCTAAGAGAGAGTACATCAATTACTACTTCTACAGTAACACAGTTTTAACACGCAAACGGAACAGAAAAATAAAAGGTTCAAACTGTCAGACTAATTAAAATCCAACAATAAGTAGATCCAGTCGAGGACAGGCTCGTTGTGCAGTGACTGCTCCCGTCCTGAAGATGAAGAGCGATGCTGCGCGGAGCACAGCTTCACTCAGGCAGGGCACGAGAGATCATGTGATCAGTGGAGAACTGACGGGGAAGAGCGTAAGGCTAAAATAAGGCATCAGAGTAAAGAAACAACAAACTGCTATCTGTGGAACCATGCTGTTCAATAAAAACAGATTAGTCTTCAGAAGAATAATAGTTTGGTATCAAATAATCCAAACGTCTGGTTTATGATAAAACAGGCCTGAGAACACAAACCAAGGTCAAACAAGGTTGTAGAGAGAAACCGTAGTCCACGGCCTGTCGTTCCACTGTGGGAACTTCCTTCATTCACCCGTGATTAACATCCTTCAATAAAATCTCAACTTAATGCAACATGGGCCTTCAGAGGTTTCACATGGACTACAGAGGTCAATCAGGGTACGGCCTCCTGGAAGTGCAACAACAAACCTGCAGGATCCGGCTGCTGCACAGAACAACAATAAATTAGGAATTAGTGCTTTGGCCTGCTGATGTGATGGGGAGGGGGCTTGTCCTGGCTGTCTTTGAGGTCAGGGGCCTTTAAACCGTCAAACACAATCAAGGCCGATTGCTCGGTGACCCTTGCAGTTCAGCTGCCATGCCTTCTGAAACTTCTGCAGAGGAGGATGGACGCCGGCTCTGCCTGCTCACAAAGCATTAATCGTCCAATCACAACACGTGGTGCAAGAGCCCCCGCCTCAACACCAGCCAGTCCTTACTCGTTAACCCCCCCCACGTAAACTCAGAGGGAGCACTTGAAACAACCCAACAGAAAGCAGCTGATCAGGTCTTCGCTTGCTTCAAGAATTACACCAAATTTATTCTAATGAGTCATTTGCATGAAAAAGTAAAAACGTCCGTGACAATAAAGTTTTGAAAGTAAATAAACTAAACGATATAAAACTGCACTAGCTGGCAGACGGTTATGTTACATGAGGATTTAAATAAGCTTTGATTTGTCCAAACGTCCGTTTGCACCTTCCACACATTGCACAGCTGCAGCTGGATGCAGATGTTTGCCAATCAAGGGTTTGGATCTGTTGGAAACGCACAGCAAAGTTGGACAAGAGCCAACGAAGTGAGAGCAAAACATGCACTTATGTCCAGCAGCGCCTCATGAGGACCTCTCTGCTGGACATCCACACCGACACATGCTCCTGTGGAAAAACACCGGACATTAAATGCATAACTTGTTTTTGTATTCGATAAAAAGTTCATGTGCGCAGATTCCAGCACAGCACAACTTCTCACAGCAGTGAGGCCCTCAGAAGGGGAGGACCCCCCACCCCATTTGTAAATAATAAAGAGCAAAATGTCAGGCGTGCTAGCCCACCCCCACTCCACCCAACCTCTTGCTCCATCTTCAGTGGCTAGTGTCCGGAGTCCCTGCATAAGAGGAGAAGGCGTTAGACGATGGAGCCGTCCCTGTTCTGGGCAGGGGTCATGACAGGGATGGCCCCCATGCGGCTAAGGTTGGGGCCAGCCATCCTGATGGCAGAGGGCGGGGCTAGCGGTGCGTGGCTCGGGGGCCTCTCGTACTCCTCCGATGAGGGAATCTTGTCGTACTGAGTCTTCAGGGCGTACTCGTGCAGGTTGGAAGGCGACATGGATCCTAGGGAGGAGCGCTGGCTGCCCATGGTGAAACTGCGTGCTGTTGAAGCGCGGCTCTTGGGAGGGGGCACATCCTCTCTGACAAAGAACAGACGACACAGGAACGTATTTAGACCACGTAGCAGGGGATGAGACACTAATGAAACAAGATGATATGATTTAAAAACAGTTTCTATAACTCCTCATGAGTCTGACCTAACCTCGTTAAAGCTCTGGCATCTTTTCACAAAACGTCTAAATTAATCCTCCTCTTAAAAAAAACACCAGCCATGTTTTCCAAACGTGTCAGAACATACTGATTGCAAAATACAAAACTTTTTCATACCCTACATGTCTTTATTGTAGCGACCAGTATTAACAGGCAGGAGTGACGACGGTAAAGAGTGACATTTGTTTCAAGAGTTGCTCAATGCAGAGATGATTCTTGTGTGGAGGGAGGAGGTGGACCCCAGAAACAAACTGATATTTGTCCCCCCTTTCAGCTGCTCCCTTCTTCAGGGAGTGAGCGGACTCCCCGAGGACTTGTTGTACACCAGACGCTCCTCCTGACTCAAACATGTCCACCGAGCTACCACAGCTCTCGGTGTGGAGCAGAGCGGACATTTAGGGTTAAAGGCCTTGCTCAAGAGCCCAGGGTGGGGCAAATGAGGACGGAGGCAGATGTAGGTGCTTCACCTTTTCTACCCACGTTTTGATGTTACGGTCAACCGCAGGATTCAAACCGGCAACTTTCTGATCACGAGTTCCCTCCTCTGCCACCACATTTTATTTTTATTAAAAAACACTACTGCATTAAAAGTCGGCGTTCAGCTCTCTGCATTTAATCCAGCACACCTGAGATACACCCAGGTGGAGCAGTGGGCGTTAGGCGTCTTGCTCAAGGACACCATGACATGTGGAAATGACTGGGAGTTGAATCTGCGATTTTATATTCCCAAGTCGTCTGCCCTACCTCTACACCATCTCAGCCTCTTCGGAGGGAGAGGAAGTAAAAAGATTGGTAGTAGCAACAAGCTAACTCTGTTAGAGGAGGATCCTGTCAGAGTTTCCATCTGGATCCAAAAAGGTTAGAAAATAAAATCCACTGAAGCTTTTACTCATTTATGTCTGCACCCGGTGGGTAACCAGGGCTCGTGTGCCACGCTTCACACTTTGGAACCACAACACAAGCAGAGGAAACGCTGAAGAAGTGGGTCAGATCGCTCCAACGTGTAACGCAGGAACATCCGCTCACACGGACGCTCGCGCAGCCGTTGTCAGCATTTTGACTTTTCCTCATATTATTTTATGAACAAAAAAACAGTTTTACGCTGCAACGCAGAATGTTTTAGGGTGATTCGCTGCTCAAGGTTTTGTCCAAAGTGTGACTACGGACGCATCAAGGTGCATCGTTAATCGTTTCATAATCGCACCGCATCCCTCTGCGTTGTAATCGTGAGGTGCCTGAAGATTACCACCTCTACTTTGGACTCCGCAGAAGTCATTTCAAGAGCAGGGCATGATTGGACTCAGTAAAAAGGCTAAATAATTGGACTGGGCTCATTTGATTGATACAGCAACATCTGCGCTGCAAAGTCACAAAGACTGTGTAATAGCCTATAGGGACTTAGAGTGTTTAAATACAACGATGTCCTCTTCTCCCTCTGCCACCACATTAACGCTTAATAAGCAGCAATAATCCAGTTAAATGCTCAATCAAACGGAGCCTTAGGGGCCCCGGCTTGCTCGGCCCACAGCATAATGCAGAGATGCTCCCGCCATATTGTGAGTTTGTCTGTGTACGAGACAGGGCCAGCGCTCTAATCCTCTTTGTCCTACACTGTGAGCAGCGTCACATTGTGCTCTTACATTCGGTCCACAGCAGAGCTAAAGTAAGCCCAGTGGCTGTGCAGAGCCCACGAGCTGAATGGAGAGTCGGGCAGCGAGGAGGAGGGGAGCTTGATCTGCGGTGGGGGTGGGTGGCAGCCAGAGGCAGAAAAGACAGGATCCACAGAGTACACAAAGCTTTCAAACTGATTACCACAGCTGTTTATTTGAGGAAGGGTATAAAAAAAAAAACGCTGATAGAGAAAAACCATTTTCATGGTTGTTGGACGCTGCGGTGTGTGTGAGTGTGTGTGCGCTCAACAAAGATAACCAGAGTTCATATTTTAAGAAGAAATAAAAATCACATGCCCCGTGTATTTTAAAGTTTACTCATAATGCTCTGCTATACAAGCAGAACCACATTCTTTGTAAAGATTACAAAGTTTTACACGCAACGTTTTTCATCCAAAGGGAAATCTCAGAACGTGTGAGCCAAACTCTCACGGACGTTTTAGCAAGCGTACCGTATCTCGTTGCAAATTTCCTTTTCGTATTTCCTCTTGTTACGAGCACGGAGCAGGCAGAAAAGGACGATGGCGATGATGAGGAGGATCAACAGAACGGCTATGATGGATCCCGCAACGATGCCGGCAGTGTTCGGAGCTACACCATTAAAACAAAGAAAACAAGTTGAAAGGCTTGGTAAACAGCATTATCAATATCAATATCAATTTTAGTCACACAAAACATACACTTGAAGCGTCTTTCTACACTTTGAACAGTGCTGCTCTACATAAAATTGTGTTTAAAACAACGGTGAACAATAAAGCTGCACATTTCTAAAGTGCGTCAGTTTTCACTGATAACATAATAAGCGAGCAGAATAACTGAGCTGTCATGGCAGACGAGATCCATCTGTAGGCGATAAACAAGAAATCAATTAACCACATGATAAATTAAAATGATGGATGGCTGAGAAGCTAAGCTACGAGCTAAGCTAACAGGCCGACCTCGGGGGAAAAACCCTCCGTCTTGTCGAAGCTCCAAAATTCACGGTTGAAACCCGTGCCTTCGTGTAAAAAGTTGTTTTTCTCTGCAAAAAGAAGCGGAGAACTTGTTTACCGATTTTATTATTAAAATCTTTGTGTGACAAATGCTAAAGAGCTCAAACCACACCGAGTGTCCGCCATTTTGAGAACCGAATAAAGAAGAGAGAGACAGCCCATGTCACGTCAAGGGGCCTCCCTCCCAGTTTTCTTAAAAGGGACACGCTGCTCACTCCCTCACTATCCATCCTTCAGTTTGAACACTTTTACACTGCCATCCGGTGGTTGAAAAAAGGTACCACACATAAAAATGTACCAATATTTCTTCTTAAATTTGACAATTACTAATTATTATCAAATTGCAAACAATATTATCGTTTATCTCAATAATTTCCAAGACAATTAATCGCCCAGCAAAATTTGTAATCATGACAGGCCTATCCATCCGTTTTATAAATTACTACAATAAATGTAAAACTACAGCACAAAACAGCAGCATAATATAAATGAATAGCCTGGACCCGTCACGCCTCCAAATAAAAATATGACATTTCAAACAAAACTACATTTTCTGATGGAGCAGAAAAATAAAAGACAAAATTAAATAAACTGAAAACTGTATTTTGATGCACCTCCTCGGGCTTTCACAGCAGCTGAGAATCTTTGAGACTTTAATACAACGCGATCCACCAATCAGGTGAAACTTTCCCGTTCAGAGCCGCTTCACAGGCCGAAGCCTCGTCAGAGACCGTATTTATTTTATGTCCATCATGAATTTTTACTTTCTTTGACACCTAAACCGTTTGGTCTCATGTCACTGCGTTGATGTCTTCTCTGAAGAGAAGTGTGATGTGATGGCTCACTGCTCTGTGGTGCAATACATCACCATCCAGGAACACGCACGTCACCACCCATAGATTGATAGATGTATTAATTATTGCTGATAGGAAAAGTATCCAAGACATCACTGTCCACTTATGTAGGGCCATGCAGCCTCACCGACTGTGACAAGCTGCTGCTTTTCTTCATGCATTCATCTTTAAACGTTTCATTCTGCGTCCAGTTAATGCTGCAGCCGCACCTTCCTGTCCACCGACGTCATCACTAATCACCCCTCTTTAGCCTCCTCGTTTACGTTCACTTAGCTGTTGATGATGCTTTGCATTAACTTTTTTACTTTTCAGCTGATTATTATTATTTTTATTTACAAAAATCAGTTTTTCAATTTTTTTAATTATTTCTTATTTATTAATAAGTTTTTTATTAAGCGCTGTAGTTTCCTTTAAACTAGCTTAAAGTGTTTGTTCTTTTCCAGCCTGAGCGCTTGTTCACATTTTCAACGTGTTTCGTCACTCTTGGTGTTGAAGGACGTTCCTGACGGCGTTGTGAACTTTTTGTTTAAGCTGATACCTCTCAATGTTTCCTGTCAGTCCTCCAGCTACAAGCAGCTTGTGGACTCACCTAACTGCAGACTGCTGTAAATGTTTTGACGTGCATGTACTTCCTTTACAAATATTCCACTTCGCCTCAGGCTCGGAGCTCTACCGGAGGCCTGGGAACTGGAGGGTTCTGAGCAGCATCCTAGCTGTTCCCAGGACTGGACTCTTCTCCAGACCTCTTGTTTTGGGGTCACAGCATCGAACGATGTCTTGACTCTGCACAACTTCTCCATTTCCTCTTTCAGCTTTAAAAACAAAATAAGTCTGTGCATTCTCTGTCCAGACTCAAAGTGTTTCAGTCGTCAGTTATATTTTATTTTGTTGAAACGTTTCATTTCAACAAAAAGTGTACGACAAAAATAAACCGTCCAGACTTAACTTGGTGGGATTTTTTACCAGGATTATTGAGCATGAACTTTGACATTTTGCAACTAGTTTTAAAATATGTTATAAACATTTAGGTTTACTGTAAAGGCACACCTTGTAATTTAGGCTCATAATGAAGTTTGACCATTAAAAGCCAAAGCATGAAACTATTTAGTCTGAAACTGAAGATAAATAAATAAAATTCTGACAAAGAAAGAGCGCTTCCCTCTTATGGAACAATTCGGTGAGGTAAAAGGCTTTTGTGCAACTTCCGGGGCGATTCTTTTAGCTTCTAAATGCCAAAACATCAGCTGCAACAAGTGTAAATGTTAAGCGGCTTTATGTGTAGTAAAGACAGGGAACTCACGAGGCGTCACGTTGAGACTGAGTAAACATTCCTCCGTGCCAACACTGTTGCTGGCAACACAGCGGTAAGTCCCGGATGCACTGGCAGAGACATTCCTCACATTGATGGTACCTTCAACAGGATCTGCGTTGATAAAGCAAACAAAAAACAAATATAAATACATATATAATGAAGATGACAGATTTAGTCACCTGTGAGAGGGACGTCAAGGTTTTTCATTTCTAAAATATAAATTACCTAAAACGGCAGAGGCAGGCAGCAGCTTGCTGTCGGTGAGTTTCTCCCATTTGTACTGCATAGGTTTGGTTCCCTCAGCGGTTGTGCAGCGTAGCACAATGTTTTTGCCTTCTTCTGTGCTACCTTCAGTGTAGCACCTCGGCTTAGACGGACGCACTGTGGAGAGAAAAGGAGATTCAGGGAGGAGAATAAAGCAGAGCTATAACCAAGTGGCCACATCAGAAATAAATCGTCCTGCTGTCCTATACAGCGTTGTTTTAAATCATGCATGTTGTGTGCAAGACCAGTGTTTGAGCAACGAAGAAAGCCCGCTTCACAACACGGTGCATAAACAGCAGCCTTCAGCAAAATGAAAGCAGTAATCACAGTAATTGATACAGCTGCTGTCATTACAGGAGCCGTCGCTCAGGATAATCACAAGTAACAAGGGAGCTGTGTGTGTTTGTGAATGCAGCGTTCTCTGGAAGAATGTGAGCAAACGCTGCTCAGTCAGTCACACTGGCCAGACAACATGAGAAGGGGTACTTCTACAACAAACGCAGCTCAAAATTTAAAACAGACGGGCACAGTGAGCCAGGCAAAGACAGGAAGTGTGACGTTTGGATGGAGAGGATCTGAAGCCAGACTGTGCTCCGTGCGCACCGACAGAAAGCTGACATCGTGGCGTGGTAATAAGTTCTGCAACAACAAATCCATGGAGTGGAGCTCTTGAGATTTGAACCAGGTGCTGGACGGGAGGGGCCGGCTTAGCAGACAAGTATAAGGATTAACAGAACACTGACAGAACGGAGCGCTTTCATCAGTCTAATAAACAAACAGTGGAGGAAGGACGGAGGACAAGGACAGTGGTAGCACGAAAACTAAACAAGCAGCGATGGACAGATGTTAATGGGGCCACGGCCATGTGACTTCTATCCGTCGGTCCTGCCGTTTTCAGCCGCCGTGCTTCACCTACACATCTCACAATAAATGTCAGACAGCCATGACATTCTGAATGCATCTCTTAAAGGTGAACGTCAGCTCAACACATCTGAGGGCTACAGTACACAGCCCTTCATATCAGGTCTGCAGCCTGAAGATCAGATTTATATGTTGGAGAGATGAGGTCAAAGAAGAAGGTGACAGAGACCGGAGGGGCAGAGTGATACAGCCGACCCAACTCTGTAAAACAACAATGAACTGATATTTATGAGATGCACAAGGCTATCTTGTGAATGAAATACACAAAAAGACAAGACAGGGTTGTGGCATCAATTACTGGGGGAGACGGACAGCTTCAAAGAGGGATTGTTGGTCAGTAAATGGAAAAGTGAGAAGTGACTCACTAATGGGCACCGGAGCCGTGCACACAGAATTAACGTGGCTGGCTTTTGAGCTTTGCAAGGAGATTTTGAATGTAATTGCCTGGACTCAGACACAACTGAATGGCTGGCTGTTCGGGGTAAAAGTAGTCACAAGCAATTGCAAGAGTTGCTGACATGCAGAGCTGAACTACCGGTGGACGCTCTCCTCCTGTTAACTTCAATGTCCTGCTGGAACCAGAGGAGAACACAACAATGAATCTGGACAACAAGTACACAACAGGTGCAAGCATGTGTGCACACATGCATACGCACCATGTGCGACTAGTCACAGCAACATCCAATGAATGCGAGGCCTGCTTGTGTACACTTATACATGCATGTCTCTTCTGCTCTCGGGGACCATCTACCTGGTGACAAGATCAACCTGAAGGTGAAGTGCAGAGCAGGCGACATGTCCCCACCTCTCCTGTTCAGGGTGCTGCTGCGGAGGTCAACAGCTAGCAGCCCGTCAGCTTCTACGGCTGCAGCAATCCCTCATCGTTGTGCACACTTTTATTCAGCTAAATGACTTGAACCTACACGACTTCCTCAAATGCAACTCCGTTATTTTTACAAGATGTGTAAAATATTAATAAAAGCAAAATGCAATGATTTGCAAATTTCAAAAATCCATCAGCTTAGGTATTTCCATCGTCGTGTTTTTCTTCATGTGGTTAACGTAAAAACTGTGTGTTTGCTACTTGTTATCTTTGTGTTTCTGCTGTACGTTTGTGGCAGCATTACAGCAAATTAAATTTAATTGAATACTTTATTAAACCCCAAAGAAAAATATTATGCTGTTGCATTTTTATCTGTTAAGAAACATAAGCTCTTAACACGCAGATAAACAACACACGGTGTCATTATTTATGGCTAATGCTGCGGGTGGAGATGAGCTGCGGGTGGAGATGAGCTGCGGGTGGAGATGAGCTGCGGGTGGAGATGAAGTCGCCCTGCAGACTCATCTTAGATTTATGATTTCTACAACTTGTATTTCAAACATCAACGTGCAAAGCACAAAATTATATCGGACCAGAAACTACATGAAGACTGAATTTTCAGACATGCAAAATGCTGAAAATTTCAAAGGGTATTTGTTATAGTACTAGAGTAAGTACTATGTTTTTGCTAATAAAAAAAACAGAGCGTTTTGTTTGAGCAGACTATTATATCAGTTAAAATTTCACTTAATCTGTGAACCGATAAAGTAAAATAACGTGCATAAAGTCAATGAGCCAAATAATGAACTTTTGACTGATTTTTTTTTTATTGCTTTACCAGAGCACTAAGGAAACATCTAGTGAAAAACTATTACCGGTAATTGCATCCTGCAGTGCTGTGCTTAAACTATTAAAAATAAAAAAGGAAAGACCCCCGTTCAAAAGACTCAAGTTTATTAAACATCCACTTGATTAGATGTTCACCTAATATGTGCCTTTACTGCATTTTGTTGGTATTAATCGACTGATAAAAGTAGGGATGCACGATATTATCGGCATGTATCAGTATCGGCCGATAATAGTGATAAAGTTAAATATCGGACATCAAAGCATCAAAATAACTCACAGATATGAAAGGTTTCTGTTTTTGTACGACAACCCAGTGACAAGGAGATTTGAGTTGACCATTAAGATTATATAACCATGTAGTGAGCCTCTGTTTTAAGTTAAATTTTAATTTAAGAAACTGTCAGGTATTTCTATTAATGCACTTAGGCTATTTTCACTTGTTGCTTGTGAACAGGTTGAGTTTAGATTTATGAAAATTTACAAATTTTCACTGTTCGAGTGTTGTCATTGTGTTAGAGAGTAAATGTCATGAATAAATTTGATATTAAACATAATCCAAGTTGAAGTGTTGCATCATTTTCAGCCCCTTTTTGGCATTTGGTAGCAGCCAAACTGACAAAGACCGTGCAGAATAATGTAGTATTTAATGTATTTTAAAAATGTAGTATTTTAATTCCACAGCAGAGAAAGTCTCTGTAAGTAGGTCTAGGGAAAAATATTGGTATTAGCATCGGATATCAGCCAAATATATTTTAACATATTGGCATATCGGCCAAAAATCCAATATCGTGCATCCCAAAATAAAAAAGTTTTGTTTACAGCCAAAGATAATCCTAAAGATCAGGGCAGCTGATTGTTAATATACAACACCATATTTTTAGACGGGGATGTGAAAATGTAATTTTTACTTAAAAAAATAACTAATTGCCTAAATTACATGAACAATATTAACAATTCTTAGAAAATCTCGTCTTTTTTAAAAATAAAAACCCATTACTGCTTATAATGCTGAACTGTGGGCTAGTGTAAGCTGACTGTAGCAGCAGCTTTTGATCCTACTGGGCAACTAATTAAGTCTGCACAGGTACGTCATATTAACTGGTCTAACTTTACTTTTCTCCTACTTCTCTGTTCGGAGGTGGATTTGTGTGCACCTCATTTGGGACATTTATATAGTTAAGTTTATTTTACATAGAGCTAGAAATACAAACTCCACCAAAACTAAACTACAATGTTCAGATTGTTGAAGACGGTAAACGGCAAATTTTCACGTGTGTATGTAATGTTTTTTTCATGTTGCTTCTGTTGGTATATTTTTTAATTGAATCAGCCAGAGGTTGAAGCTTCGGCGTCAGCTGAGACCACGTTAAACTCACGTCGCTTGTTTACGTTAATTTCTATCGTTGGAGATCTCAACACAAGAGCTGACAAACCTGCTGGTGTGCACGACTCTCTCTTTTGCGCACACATCATTTCAACAGGAAAGACCAACCATTTTCTCAAGCTTTGTTATCTTTAAACCAGAGGTGTTTGAGAAGAGACTACATAGCATTTTAACACGTCACACACAAACTAGTATTTCACATGCCAGTTGATTTTCCCATATGCAAACGACAGGCGAGTTTCGGGAGGAAATTTACTTTCAACATCATTTAACGGGTTGGCTGATCAGCAAAGTCACCATGATGTGCGAGTGCGTGTGTTTGCCGAGGGAGTGAATCAACTCTGATCCGTCACCAATTTGCCTCTGGAAAAATAAAATGAGCACGCAGTCTTTACTTCCTGTTGACTTGTCCGCAGAGAGAGAATGAAACTGTGGACTCTAAAACAGCATGTAAAATACATTAAGTGTAGATAAAGTTATGCTATAAAGCAACTAGAGCGAATTCAGAGCTTCGCCGCAAAGTGTGCGATGCTCTATAGCTCGTGGGAAGGTTGTGCTCTTCATTTTAAAGTAAATAACATTAAAACTGTGACTGAGGACAAGAGCCGTGCGACTTGGTGCACTGCCACAGTGGAAGGGTAATTTACCTCGTGGGTAAACGTAAAGGAGGAAAAAAGACCAAGCTAAAGAGCACGGCGTGTTCAGTGGCTTATCTAGTTCCAGAGTATGACCCACTCACCCATGACAATCAGCTGCATCTTCTTGCTGCCGATACCAGGAGCCTTCTTCACTTTGCACTGGTAGGTGCCCGAGTCGGACGACTTCAGCCCCGTCAGATTGATTGAGGCGTCGCCCGTCTTTGGGTCGCTTGAGCTGAAGTGAACCCGGCCCTTCATGGGTTTGTAGTAGTCCTCGTATACCCTGTCGCCCGAGTACAGGATCACCTGGTTGTAAAGATCAAATCAAAAGGATTACAGCAAAACTGCTGTAAATAAAATGCAAGTCTTGCAAAAATCACATCATCATATCTTAAAAATCAGAGCATAAAAAAGTGTTTTTTTTGTTTTGTGAGTTTACAAAGCATGTCCTCGCTCTTTAAACAAAAAGAATACAGAAAAAAGCACGTTGTCTTTTATCCGTCGATTGCTCTTCAACGTGGCACTCGGTGCCATGTTGCCCTTTTCATGCAGAAGCAAAATAAAAGTACCGTAGAACAAACAGACCCTCTACTGTGGAGCTAAATCAACGCCTGCTGTGTCACAACGTGCACGCTCACACACAGTCTGAAGGCAACGCTTGAAAATAAAAGTCAGCTGAAGACAGCAAGAGAGCCAGCAGTGGGTGACGGTGAAGGACAAATATTAAGAGTGTGAGGAGGAACAATAATGGAGTTCTCATTCTCGCTCATAGTCGTGTTCTTGCACATTTCCATGGAGACCTGGCTCAGCAAGCTATGTCGCGCTTTAATCAACCCCAGAACAGCAACACCTCTGAGTGGAGCACTCGAGTGGAAAACCCTCGCAAGACGGAAGGAGAGGAAGAAGAATACATGCAGAAAAGGAGGCAGCACACCTAAAGGAAGCATTAACAGGAAAAAAGTAAAATAAACGACTCATTTTTACAGTAAAAAGGCAATGTGAGGTAAGTCTAAATACGGAGGTTATTTGTGTAAAAATAAAACACCATTAAGCTAAAACAGCATACAGTCTTCCTAATCTACAAAATAAATCAAAGTTTTCTAACAGTAAGCCATCAGATATGATGCTTCGTCTTATAGCACTTAAAATTACCCTAAAAATAACATTTATTGATGTCATAGCATCACGAAAACCCCGTCGTAAAATGTTTGGTGTCATTGTGAAGCTTAGGCTTTCCCCTTTTTAAACACAGGGATGAAGTGACTGGGCCAATAAAAGTCGACTTTTCAAACTGGCACGCCTTTAAACAAAACTTGGTTGTTGCCAGACCAGGTGACAAATCGCCACATTTCAACAAACTGTACCATTTTGAAGCTTTTGAGAAAGAAACTTTTAAAAAGATAAAACTATTAAAAAATATAGTTACTTATTTTGACAGCACAGGTCATAACAATCCATTCTTTTTTACTCTTCCTTGATACTATTCATAGTTGCAGGTAGCTGGAGCCTATAGGTGCTATCTCATGGAAATGTGTCTCGCGTTTGTTGCCAAGTGACCAGAACAGACACATTTACAGCAGCCACTTTATTTTTTGTTTTGCTTTGCCTTGAGTAGGGATGCACGAGATTATCGGCATGGTATGATTATCGGCCGATATTAGCGTTAAAGTTCAATATCGGGCATCGGCCATTCCCTCAAAATAACTCACCGATATAAAAGGTGCTGTTCTTGTAGGACAACCCAGTGACAAGGACGCCTGCAGCGGCAGCACAACGTGATGACATCACGCGCGCCTACTTGATCTCATGGCGGAGAGGAAAATTCAAAGTCGGCAATGTGGAAGTTTTTTTCCGTTTAGGATGTCGGATTCTGAAGATTTCTGCACCACGTTCACGTTGAGCCTCGCTACATCGTCCCAGTCGGAGATATTTTTCCGACGCAGCGTTACCAGCGTAACAAGCCGTCATTTAATAATAATAAATAATAATGAATTTAACTTGTAACGCACTTTTCATGAACAAAAACCTCAAAGTGCTACAAAGTGCAACTAAAATCAAAAATCAACTACAATCAGTGATAAAATCATGTGGAGGCAGAATAGGCTCTCTTAAAAAGAAAGGTCTTTTTTTAAAGTCAATCAATGACTGGGAGCTCTCAGATAGTCAGGGAGGGAGTTCAGAGGTGGGGGGGGGGGGGGCAGCCACACAGAATGACCCATCTCCCATGGTCCTTAATTTAGTTTGTGGAAGGAGATTACTGTTCTGTGATCGTCGGGACCGGGTGGATGAACATGGAGCAAGAAGGTCCTTCAGATAATCTGGTGAAGTTCCATTTCCGACGTCACTGAGGAGCTAATAGCCGATAGCATTTGGGTGAGTTTTACCACAGACATTTAGACGTCATGTTAGCATGGTTAGTCTCACGGCACAACGAAAAGACAAAAACTTTGAACTTAGAAAGTCTGTCCTTCATGCACAGGAGAGGATCCCACACTGCAGCTATAGGAACCTGGAACAAGCCTCCACACGTGAGAGCATCACAGGCGACTAATGCTAATAAATAACGTTTAACACTTTTCATTTAATATAAGTTAAAGTTTATACATATCATATGGCTGTTACTGAAAATATGTCACCAGCTCTTACAGCTGTTGCACAATTTTTGCAACAAATAAGCCTAAATAAGAGAGAGGACTATGTTCTGACAAAGGAACGTATATAAAATATCAGCCAAATAAGTTTTAACATGTCGGCCAAAAATTGAATATTGTGCATCCCCAGTCTTGAGCCGAACACCAATAATCTTAAATTGTGTGCTGTAATGGTTTATTACTGAAAGGAATGTTTTAGTGGTATCAAAGTTGAAAAAGACAGTCATGATTGTTTTGGGACTATTTTTTTAAACTAAGCGTGTTCTTTTAGTGTATTTTGATAAGCTGTTAATGTGGATGTTCTCACCCTCTAGTGGTGTGGCGTGGATATTTCTACCTTCTTGCTTTTCCCTTCGTTTTTCACCGACGTCTTGGCTCTCTGAGCTCTAGCTGATCCATCAAAAATTAAACTCAACTAAACCAAAAAAGCATATACAGTAGAAACTTTAGTGACTTGATGGTTCCAAGTCGTCTTCTTCTGGCTTTTCCATTTTCGGGGCTCAGATCCTGTCCAACTTAGCAACAGTATCACTGAAACTACACGACTGGAATAATGGATGAACAGCAGCACGGCTGCCAGAAACATTTGAACTGCAGGAATAGAGACGAGATTAACAAGGAACTGTTTTCTGTGTTTGAGTAAATGTGTTTAACCCAAAGCATCTTTTTCCATAACAGGTCTTTCCAGCAATACTTTGTGAAATTCCCTTCATACTGTTTGGTAATGTAGTCGTTTATTAATGTAGTCAAATGCATTGTAAAAAATATGAAGCTGCTCGTCTCGCTTTGTTTTCTTTACAGTAAAATAGTTTCTAATGTTACATGATGGAAAGGTGAAACACCCACACCTGTCTCTACCCTCATTTGCCCCACTCTGAGCCCTTGAGCAAGGCTCTTAACCCCCACATCTGCTCCCAAAGCAGGTCTCTCTTGAAAATGAGTTCTCGTGACTCACTGAGACTACCTGGATAAATAAAAGGTCAATAAATTAAAATAAATAAAATAAACAACAGAGCTTACACTGAGAACCGGGGTCATTCTTATACTTTAACCTTATAAACAGGTCGTTCTGTTAACATTCCACATTGCTCTCAGGGGAGGAAAGTAGATCCTAGTAACTTCACTGCATCAGCAGGAAAAACAGTTGAGAGCACAAAAGAAAGGAAATTAAATTGCCCCAAGGTGAGCCAGACAAGAACACACCAGCCACTTCACAGGCAAACATATGGGAATGCTTAAGACATATGCACGCCTCGAGCCAAAAATGCTCAACATCAACCTTGAGAATTAAGATCCAACGGGGGAAAATTCCTCTAAAGCGTCTGGGAAAATAACATAAAGAGCAAATGACAGGTAACGGGGGTGGGGACAGGACAGAAGAGCAGTGCTGTCTGTGTGCTGCATTTCATACCAGGTAGTGAACTCTGATGCAAGCGCCACTTGGCATGGCCTTTTCAGCTTACAGATTACACAGCGCAGGTTAAAGATCCCTCCTGACCAGCCTTGGTTTCATTGGACAAGCTGCATGATGACGTCACAGTCATGTGACGCCTCGGCTTAAAGTTTAGGGGAGTAGGTGACGCTTATTTGAAAGGCAAAGCAGAGAGCGATACTCTGAACAACATCCAGAGCTTTGTGAGGGTAGGATTTTGTCTTAGCCTCTAACTGGTATGAGTCATGGTGACGCTGCTACAAAAAAAACATTTCAGCTCTGCAATACCGTCAAGGTTAACACAAAAAAACTATCCTGGCCATGAAAATCTGAACAAATAATGCAATTTCTACCAAACCGTGTCACAGCTTTACATCTAAATCCTTGAGCAAACACTGAACATTCCTGTTGCGATAGCGGTAAACACAAACGCTCTGCGTCACGCCGAAGGACACAAGAGGCAGTTTGGGTAACACGAGACAAAGCAATGAATTTTCCCAAGCAATTTCATCTGCTCTTCGAATGTTCCGGATATTGTTTCCACGATTGTTTTTGTCACAGTTCTCAGTGTGGTGGGAAACTCTTCTTTCAACTAATCTGTAGCCAGGCGGTGAGAGCAAAATGCAAATGACTGTTAGTGTCGGCATGTCTGGCATCTCTTGTTCAAATCCCACAAAGCAACATGAATTAGTTATGCCTCGCCAACCACAAAAAGACACTGATGATATGTAGGATATGTGAGCTAAAGGGGGCCGTCGTTCCCCTGCAGACACCAAGCTGAATTGATAACGTGCCACCTACAGAAGATAATGAGGTGTGACTTTATACTGCGTCCATGTAAAGAGAAACAATTTGAACAAGCTTCTGTCAGTCAGGATGGGGCGCTGTGAACAATCTTTACATATTAAAAAATATAACTTACAGTGAATGACTGATCATCCTGACTGAACACACATCTACAACACCAGTCTGTTCTCCTTAAGGCCAGTTTAGATGTGATCATATCAAGCCATGTAAGCAAAGGTCCACCAGGTTTCTGAGCATGAGCAGCCTCTGGTGATAAAGTTCCACGCTCGTTCTTTTTGTTAGCCTGACATCGTTGCATTGGTCCAGTCTCACTGGCCTAATTCTATTGAACCCTGTCACAAACATTAACAGCCAATTGGAATTAATACGCCACTAATTGCAAAGAAGTCTGTCCGTGCATGACTACATGTTGGTTAGGGGCTACAAGAATGTGAGCATGTGATTATAATGAGTCTGATAGGTCAAGGAGAACAAATGTGTTCACAGAAATATTCAAGTTTTTTCTGTTTGGGGACAGTGTATAAATGACGTTAAAACACACAATAAAACTGTACAGAATTTTAAACAATTTATTTGTATGCAGAAGTTTACGGCTGCTTTTTAAATTTCATTTGAAGACCTGTTTAAATGTTTAGACTTCTAGACTTCCGTGGTCGTTTTTGGTCACTTTGCTCTTCGTAATGACAAAATCCACTTAAAAGTTAGATTGTATTGTTCAATACTTTTAATTTTTGTGACAGTCGCATCAAGTAAAATGGTCAATACATGTAATTAGATTCTAATTAACATCTTTCACTGACCATTATTTTCATTACTGTTAAAGCAAAAGCATCAAAGTGGCATTCACAAGTGAGCAGACGGGTCAACCATGAGGTCAGAGCAAACATGTAATTCCACAGTGGAAGTCAGAGACGTCACAGCACCCCCACAGGATGTCTCCACTACAAGTTGGAAGTTCTGCACCTCCTTGTACATAAACAAGACTTCGCTCTTAGGAAAACAAAAATACTCCTCTTAAATGTTTTTCAAGTGACGACCCTTGAATGACAGTTCTCCCAGTACTGCTGAATAGTCATTTTTTTATTTCTCTAATATGTTAATATTATTTTATGCTTTAAAAAACCTCATTAACTCTAGAATTGTGTGTGGGCAGTAGGTGAAACTTAAAGGCCCTCATCATCAGTGCACAGATGCTTGTCCCCAAAATACAACATGGCAGTGCCAGTAAACGTGCTCCTACTGGTTTTAACTTCCAACAGAGAGAAGGTGGGGGAGGCAGGTGCACCAGATGGACTACAATAACTGTTGACTCATAATACAAATGGACAGATTAGTCCACTATATGTCCACACCACTGAATCAGTCGTTCCTCTCTCATCAGTGATGTCATCTGTTTCCTCTTTGCTCGTTAAAGCTTGTTCAGTCACGTTCTGACGTCATGAGCACTCATTTTGAAGAGAAAACTTAACGTGCGTTGAGATTAGCCTAGCCTGCTACCGCCGACTCCTTCTGGACTCGAGCTCTGCGTAACATCTACGTCACCACGCACTTGCGTGGTTGTGCCGCTTCAACCCGAACAGAAGAAGAAATGCGTCAGTGAAACGCTGTAATGATATCGAAAACGTGCTTAAAACTCATATGTGGTACAAGTGGTGCAACGAAAAGACAGAACTTCAGAGACTGAGAGCAGGGCAAGTTGAGTTGGTGAACAAAATAAAGTAAACAGAGGTGCCCAATTATCATGCACCGACCTACTTATAGCAAGAAACGTAAAAAAAACAAAAAAAAAAACAAGAACAAAATAAAGGCAAAGAGTAAAAAGAGGGAAAAGGCTAAAAGTATGGATAAATAAAGGCTTAAGGGCACTACATACTCCATCCGAAGCTGCAAAATTGGCTCTTATTGACGTTGTTGCGTGATGGAAATTGCACCATTTAGTTCTGAGAGCAGCTTTGCCTGCTCCTTCTCGATGCAAGGCCCGGACTGAACGTTTTCTCACAGGCGTACGCACCAAATGTTCGACTGGTCAGAAGTTTGTGGGCGTGTTCGTCAACGCAGAAATGCTCTCTGACATTCATATGAACGACTCTTCAAGTAGGGCTGGGCGATATGAGGAAAATCTAATATCCCGATATTATTTTGCTATATCACGATACACGATATATATCACGATATTAATAAATAATCTCCAGTGTTACTTTAAACTAGTATTTAAAATTGCACTGGTGTACTGTATTCAAACAGACCATTGATGTTTTTTTTAATTGAATACAAAATCAGAATAAGTTTAAAATGTTTTATTGTAACCATCAGTTGCACACAAATCATCTTCAGTAATGAAATTAGTACTACTGTCTCTTACTGTGGTCAACACTATACCTTTAATAAACAAGCAAAAAAAGTACACCAAGCACAAATCCACAATGAAAAATAAACCAGTTGTCTGACAAAAAAGGTGCTCGTTAGTGCTTTTTGCATAAAAATTGTAAAATCAATTTTGTTACTGCGTCAGTGATTTCTCTCCACTTTGTACTTTTTCTGTCATACGGGATGGCTTTGGCAAACGAAGAAGCTAGTGTCATCTGCTTCGCAGCTCTATCATTTAACGTTGTCTTTGTTGTGTGGGGAGACGTGGACATACGGAGTTTACAACATTCTTCATTCTGCAGTGGACGACTTCTTAGGTGGTGAAATAAATTTGTGGTACTGCCTCCTTTCGTGGCAATGGTTTCACGACACGTTTTGCAAATTACCGCATTTTGTTCGACATCCTCCTTGTAAAATCCAAACCACTGCCAGATTATTGATCCAGTGCTGTTTCTCTTCGGAACTAGTTCATCGGACTCTTCAGTTATCGTCTCATTCACCCGCTCACCTGAATCTTCCGCAGTCGCCATAGTTTTTCCTCTCTCTAAGTCTATATGCGCATGCTCCGCACAGCGTGTCATGCGGAACATTTTCCTGTTGGGAGGGGGCAGGGAGTAGTGATGCATTCAATGCGTGTCGGATAAACGAAACTCACAGTGAATTAGATGCGGAAGGCTTATTATTTGAATGGCAATTTATACTCGATGGTTGCGATAGAGCCATTTTAACCATCGTAAATTGAAAAACTCGAGATACATCGAGTATATTCGATACATCGCCCAGCCCGATCTTCAAGACACGCCGAGATGGTCAAAAGGTCAAAAACTCCTGAAAACTTCAAAGTATGTCACAATGTAAAATCGTCATAATCACAAAATATAAAAGTGTTAAAAGTTATTTTTAATTATTCTAGAACTTCTATGTTCAGTTGTTTCAGTGTAATTGATCAAGACATTTCTGCTCCGCGCTGCAGAGCTGAAGCTGCGACATCCCTTCGATGTCCTGCTGCTCTTCTCTTCTCTACATTTTAAATTTAAATACTGTAACATTTTAAATAAACAATCCATGCTGCATGGAGTTTTTATTTAAAATGTTACAGTATTTAAATTTAAATTGTTTATTTAAGGAAGGAGCCGGGGAGTAACAGGTGATGAGTGTGATTACAGTCTGGCACGTCATGACAAAGTTTACTGAACTTGAACTTCTGAACCCCTACTTCAGTTTTTCACTTATCGCGGGTGGGCCTGTTCCTTAACACCCGTGATAAACGAGGGACTACTGTACAATAGTTTAAGTTTAATTTTTTGACACATTTTGAGAAGTTTGATAAGAGGATCTGATGAGGATTAGAAAAATCTTATTGGACACCGATTTAAAAGAAGAACAGAGCTTAATTATTCTAAGTGAAAATTAAAAGTGTTGGAGAACATTCTCACATACCACTTCATCCTTGTTCTGGTTGTCGGCAGCCACCAAGCTCCATTCAATATCCAGTGGTCCAGAATCCTCTGGGGCTAGGGTGAACTGGCATTCCAGCTTCACACTCTGACCACTGGCCATCTTTATGGGCGTCGTTCCTGTAGACGTGATCTCCAAACCCGAGGCCAGGGCTAGACAAAGAGGAGCAAAAGAAATAGAATGAAGTCCAAGGCTTCAACGTGCAAGATGGAAAAGTCATCAAGGCAATCTAATTATAAGACATACTAGCACAACTACAGGGAGTTTAAAGCCCCACGTGTAAAACCATCTGCCCATATCGGTCAAAGATCTAAACTTCTACTGAACTTCACGTCTGTCAGGTCACAATTATCTGCAGAAACATTGCAACTGCCTTCACCAAACAAGATAAACCACTCGTATACAAACTGAAAGGGTGCATCGATGCGGTCATTGTTCTCCCTTTTTGTATTCTGCCAGAAAAGCTCTGTTAGGGAACTGACGTTTTGATTTATTTTAAAAACTCCCTCATTTGTTTGAAACTTGACTCAAAAGCTCAAAACAAGCCTGCAGCTTGCACTCAGCAAAACTTAGTGTTTCAACAAACTAATCCCACATGCTGTTCTCTGCCTCAGTGGTGAGAGCTGAAGTCTGACGGGGCAGTTTGAAACAGACGTGGTCACTACACTGCCTCTCAAACAGGGGCACAGTTTCTGCATGCAATCAGTCAGGCACAACACCAGTAAAACCAGCGCCTTGCTGAAAACAATCAGATTTTATTGCATAAAAACTAAACACTCAAAGACTGTGGGCTGTCGTTTTTCCTCTCTACAGCTGTATGTCATCACCGAGAACAACAAAATACAATATTAAACTTAAACCAGAATCTGAGAAAGGATTAAATGTCCAAAAACATCTCAGATTTAAAAAATCCTTGTATTGCACTAAAAATCTGTTCAAATTCTCAAAATTATCAACCTGTTAATTTTCTACATCAGCTTTATAAGTCTATCAGTCTATCTAAGATCAGATTTCTTAAGGTTTAATTACAGCAACCTTAAAGTGCTGTGGTATATAGCAAATCATTAGAGACAAATTAAACAGATACAAGATGGGGATATTAATTAGACAATACCTCTTTAAGCAGTTTAGCTGGATGGGATATAACAGACATGTGGATGGTTTGGAAGAAGCTATAATTTATGACAATTCAGAGGACAAACAGGACAATAACAGCTCCAAACATAAATCAGGTTCTAGTGACATTTCTAAAGCTGCCTCGTCTGACAGGGAATTGGAGGCAATAGTAGGAAGGATGGTGTGAATTTTCTTCCTAAATGAAATAATTTTATTTATAAAGAATCTCATGAAGTTATCATTACTTATAGCTGTGGGGATACATGGCTGAACATAGCAAGATATAAAAAACATCCCGCTGTTACATAAATTGCACCAAACACACAGAACCAACTGCAATCATCTGCTAATAACAAAAGCACCTTTAACTTCATCTGAAATACCAAAGCCATGACATTTCATTTACCTACAGCTGCATCACATTTAGCTACAACAACACAGTTGGAAAGCGCTGACTTTAATGTGTGATAATTAAGGAAAGACAGGCCGAAACAACTGTAAACACTTTCATTAACAAAAACTTGCACAATTTTCTCATACTGGGGACTTTTTTTTCTATTGTTTATCATCAGGTTTTCATTATTATACAAATGAGAAAGCATACAATCACACAAACAAATGACAGAAAATGCTGACTAAGAATGAGTGACAGACTTCACTGTGTAAGGTAAGCCTGTAATATATAACCCTGTATCCCAAACTTGGCACCAAGTAGATGTAAACTGCAGCATTAAGTGGAAAACAGTACAAATATTCCTTCTGTGGCCATTGTGATAGAGAAAAAGGCCATCTTTACTGTTTAACTTTCTAAATCCTGCCCATTAGAGTGCCCTGATTCCAATTCATCAGCTCTGTTTCAGCTTCAAGTTGCGATACAAAAACCAAACGACACACAGCACATGAAGTAACGCCAGTACAGATTTTAGGCACATCCACTTTGTTAAAAACTTTGAGCCTTTAAGCACTTGATACGGTCACAAAGCGCAAGCGTGCTTCCACATCCCGGCTGCTGGTTCTGCAGCTGAAGGTTTGAGCCCACAGATTCTGACAGACGCCCTTGAAGGGAGTGATCCATCGCCTTCAGCAGGAGCAGGAGGAACGGGGAGTAAAACAGAAAACACAGATATGTGTCCATCACTGTCAAAACAGATATTCAGTTTGTCATCCACATGAAGGAAAGCTGTGTCAATTCACCACGCGCTCACAGAAGCCTGGGCATTATTCACAGTTGTTTAGAGAAGGGAGAAAATTGTATTCTGAGATAAGAAGAACGCATTCAACCCAAACGGTTGACAAAAGTGTCTGATGTGTGGCAGGTAATGAAAGACTGATGGATGTGTTAAATCAGTGACAGAACTCAAGGTTGTAGGCACCGTCTGATGCAAGTTACACTGCAGCTAGATATCTTTCATTCACCACCATGAAATCAGAATAAGTTCTACTTCACACGTTCATCCCTTCAACAGACAAACTGATTGGTTTACCTTGGCACCCGAGGATCGGAGTGGACACGTACTAAGAACGTAGAGACGTGCGAACCAACCGACCAACGCCAAGAGGAATCTGAGGCAGATTATCCATGAAAACAAAAACATTTTGCTGACTGGAATTCAAACCTATAACCTCAACTACAATCCAAAATGAAAGAAAAACAAAGAAGAGTAAATCTAAGTAACGTTAGGAAGAAGGACAGGCAGGTGATCAGGAAATGATGCGGAAAAATATGTGGCTCCTACATGAAGCCTCTTCATTGTTCTGAATCTGTATTTAGAAATGTATTTTTTTATAACTGCATGTGGACAGAGTGATTAGAACAAAAGAACATTTTTACACCAGAACCTCAAACTTTGATAATTATTGCAAACAATGTAGATTGGCTGAGTTTTGATTAAAACAAATGAAAATATGTTTTCATGTTTTTAGTAACTTTCTCTAAAACTCACATCAGCAACATCTCTAAGATGTAAAAAACATGTGTACAGAGCATATCAATGAGATAAAAAATCATTCTCGTTAAGATTTTGTGTTTTGATTTATAGAGTAAATAAGAAATGGTGAAAATACAAGCTTTTTGCAGCATTTGCAACGTACATTTTTTTTTTGCATACGTGTTTACAGATATCACACCATTAGAGTAAATGATAAAAAATGTAAGATGTCAAATTTGACTTAAATATTTACATTTGAATTCACTTAAACTCCTTTCCGAGGATAATTAGACAAACATTACATCGTGTTTTCTAATCTACGTCCTGCTCAGTTTCCAGCTGGAAGGCAAGCTAAATCCTAAACTACAAATAAAAAATGTCTAACATCTAACACAAACCAGTTGGCATAGACATAATTATCTAATTGATGCATGATTTTTTTAATGTTTTAAAGTATTTTTATTACCGTCTAAAATAAACAATTTGATTAAAGTTGTTCTTCAGCATATCCGACAGGACAGTTGGTCTTCTACCACCGACTTCCCACAGAAAAACATCCAATAACCTTGTTGTCATGCTCACAGAAACTGGCTCACACTGTTAATCAGTAACCAGCGTGTGAAACCTGCAGGATTGTATCTCAACACGACTGAGCTGAAGTCTGCAGCGGTGCAGGACAGCTGCATATGATCACCGGCTGAAAAGCAGTCTTTATACAGAGTAATGACACCACAGCCAACGTAAACTGGCCTTCCTGCTTGAAGGGAGTATAATCGCCCGATAAGAGAGGCCATCGTTTTAGTCCAAGGACACAATGAAAAATGGATTGTTAGGAAGAGCAGCTACACTGTGCACCAGACATGCACTTCTATTTCCTACAGCTTTGTGACTTCTATTGAAGAAAGATGCAAGTCTGTGCGTGTGCGTGCGTGTGAGAGAGAGAGTAATTTCATGTCTGTTTTAACTGCAGGAGTTAAACTGGAGGATGGGAGGTAGTGAGGGCGAGCTAATTAAAACGTCTGCTACAACTTTTCATCACTGTGTTTCTGTGAAGCTCTCGAGTCCTCCAGAGACACACGTGCATCCAAGATGGCTGCTGGGAGACTTGGACTGAGCTAAAGGAATTCAGAGAGCGTGCACGTTCCCACCCTACACCCCGATTGCCACTATCTCACTCAGCCACCAGCCTCTGTCCCATCCTGCCGGAGCTCCTTCTCTTTCACGCAACAATGATCGTGGAGTGCAAACCTCTCGGCCTTCAATTCTCTGCGGTCCTGCTGATTGTAACCCCCCCACACCCCCCACCTTTGTCAACATACAATGGGGAGAGAATCCCGTCTCCTGGCAACCAATCCCCTGGAGAAGGTTGCTGCGGTGCTTAAAAGACGGCGTGACAGAGACGGAGCAAAGTAGGAAGACGGGGAGGGAGGTAAGGAGGAGGAGAAAAAGGTTAAGTGGGAGGACACAGATAGGAAATTTATGAAAAGAGATATTGCTTCTATTTTGAAAAGCCTTCATAGAAGTCAACAGCTCTTTGTACTTAAAAAAAATAAACGGCAACATTGTCGATAAAAGCAGAGATGAAATGACTTCAACCATCAAACGCCTAAACTCATTAAGCACAGAACACAATCTAATGTACTGGACTTTTTCAGTGTTTCTCTTATGGCTGGTCCCTCTTCAGGGGTCACCCTAGCACGTCTTCCATCCTTGTACACTATAATGGTGAAAACAGACCATAATGCACTGCAGCCTGTGCTGCTACAACCAGCTAACCGGAGCTAATGCTAACGTCCACAGCTTGTTATTGTGATTTTCAGACCTACTGAATCATGTCGTCCTCCGTCTGAGCTGTGGGGCTGAGAAACGATGAGGAGATGTGAACTGATATAAAACATTTAGATCGACAGGGGTGCACATAACTTTTTTAGTGAGCTCCTCAGGTGAGTACCAGGAGATGGTGTTTGGTACTCACCCCATAAGCAGCTTTGTCTTAATAAGTGCCACCTTCCTCACTGTCCTCCTCAGAGTCACTCCCACCATCCTCTGCTTCAGCTTCCTGCATGGAAGATGATGCAGATGCTGCAGATGTACCTCCTTGTCCTTTG